GTTTTAGGTGTATATTCAGGCCCTAGCCAGGGCCCTTGCACCCCCCCCCCAAAAAAAAAAAAAAAAAAAAAAATTCTCATCCAATTGAGCCGAAGACAAGGTAGCCGACCACAGGGTTATATATTAACAACTTCCATACTGTAAAACTATAAATCATAACCAGAGACCTACTTAAGTTCACCTTTTCTCAGCAACCACAAGGAGTTGGGGGGGAGTTTTTGGGCGCGTTAGAAAGGTCTCGAGGTCCTGTGGCTTTATACTATGTGGCGTTCTGATAAGGGGTCCCTATAAGGGGTCAGAATGTGAAATCCCCTTAAAATACCACTTAAATGTTGAAGCAACAGTACATGGTTGCAGGTTTATTTAGCGTGCTATGGAAACCTATCACAGAGTAAATTTCTAAATTAGACTGGGTACGGTATGAAAATTTTCGTACCCCTTATAGACCCTTTAAATGCAGCCCTAAACAACAGCAAGGGTTAAAGAGGTGATCCAGGGTGCTATGGAAAGCTATCACAGAGTAAATGAGAATGGATATGGTTTGAGTACTCGTATACCCCTTATAGACCTCTTAAACACCTCTAAACAACGGAATGGGTTAGGGAGATGATCGAGGGTGCTATGGAAGGCTATGGCAGAGTAGAGGCGATTGGGCAGGGTTTGAGATCTCGCATTCCCTTTAAATGTAGCGGCTCACCGAGTGAGTGTTGTCGGATAAAGAATACCCTTTATTTTATTTTTTTTTTCAAGATCAAAATTGTAGTTCGTACTGTAAATATCTGGCGTTACTCATGCATGCAAAAGTGGTGTCACTTCAAATCCATAAAAGGGCCACCTTTGAAGGCCATCTAAATTCTAATTAGTTTTTTGGTCAACGAATTTTATAATACTGATATAATAATAATAATAGCAATTATAATAGTGGTAATACTACTAGTAAAAGTTATCATTGTTATAACGACGGTAATAGTAATAATCATAACAGTAATAAAATGCGAATGATAATAAAGATGGTAATAATAATTATGTGATAACAGTCTTGACAACAATGATAATAATACTACGACTGATGATAATGGTAACGCTAATAATAATGAAAGAATTGATAATAATTATATGTGGACACAGGTGTTCCAGACCAGACCAGATCTGAGCTCTGTTCTCTGGCACACTCCAGTCTGAAATGGAGGCAACCGCCTGAACAAGAAATGCATAACTTATATGATGAAAAGACGAAAGCTGATGACAGCTTGAGAGAGAGAGAGAGAGAGAGAGAGAGAGAGAGAGAGAGAGAGAGAGAGAGAGAGAGAGAGAGAGAGAGAGAGAGAGAGAGAGAGAGAGAGAGAGAGAGGAAGAGAGAAGGAAGAGAGAGAGAAGAAGAGAGAGAGAAGAGAGAGAGAGAGAGAGAGAGAGAGGAGAGAGAGAGAGAGAGAGAGAGAGAGAGAGAGAGGAGAGAGAGAGAGAGAGAGAGAGAGAGAGGAGAGAGAGAGAGAGAGAGAGGAGAGAGAGAAGAGAAGAGGAGAGAGAGAGAGAGAGAGAGAGAGAGAGAGAGGAGAAAGAGTGAGAGAGAGAGAGGAAGAGAGAGAAGAAAGAAGAAAAAGAGAAGAGGGAAAGAAGAGAGAGAGAAGAGAGGGAAGAGGAGGAGAGAAAAGAAGACAAAGAAAGAGAGAGAGTGGAGAGAAAGAGAGAAAGAGGGAAGGGAAAGAAAAAAAAGAAAGAAAACGCGACAGAAGAAGGAGAGAGAAGAGAGAAGAGAAAAGAGAGAGGAGAGAAAGAAGAAGAATGGAGAGAAAAAGAGATGCAAGAAGAGAGGAGTAAATGAGAGAGAGAAAGGAGGAGAGTTAGAGGAGAAGAGAGGAGGAAGAAGATAGAGAAGAGAGAGAGGAAGAATGATTGTAGAGAAGAGGAGAAAGGAAGAAGAAGTAAGAAGAAGAGAAGAGGAGAGAGAGGGAGAGGAGGGAGAAGACAGATAGGGAAGAATTTGTGAATAGAGAAAGAAGAGAGGAGAGTATGAGAGAGGAAGAAGAAGAGAGATGGAGAGAGAGCAGAGAGGGAGAGAGGAGAGAGGAGAGAGGAGAGGAGAGAGAGAGAGAGACAGACAGACAGTGAGCAGACAGAAGATGCAGGTGGAGAGAACAGAGAGAGATGAGAGGGAGAGTAAGAGAGAGAGAGAGAGAGAAGAGAAGGATTGAAGAGAGAAAGAAGAAGAGAGATTTGAGAGAGGAAGAAGAAGAAGAAGAAGAGGAGAGAGAGAGAGAGAGAGAGAGAGAGGAGAGAGGAGAAGAGAGGCAGATGAGAGCGAGAGAGCTAGCAGAGAGACGGATGGAGAAGAGATGAGGGGAAAGAAGAGAGAGAGAGAGAGAGCGGAAAGAGAGACGAGAGCGACCGGAGAAGCAAGAGAGCAAAGAGAGAGAGCTCGAAAGATCTATTTGAAGAGGAGAGAGAAGAGAGAGAGAGAGAGAGAAGAGAGCAGAGAGAGAGAAAGAGAGAGAGAGGAGAGAGAAGAAGGAGTAGAGAGAGAGAAGAGAGAGAGAGAAAGAAAAGAGAGAGGAGGAGGAGAGAGGAAGGAAAGAAAAGAAGGAGGAGAAAGAAGAGAGGACGAGGAGAGGGGATGAGGAGAGAGTGAAAAAAGAAGAAGAAGAGAAGAAGATGAGAGAGGGAGAAGACCGAGAGGAGAGAGGAAGAGAGGAAGAGGAGGAGAGAGAGAGAGAGATGCCTCCCGAGAGAAGAGAGAGAGAACTGAGAGAGAGAGAAGGAGAGAGAGAGAGAGAGAGAGAGAGATTCTGAGAAGTGGAAGAAGGAGAAGAAGAAGAGAGAGAGAGAGAGGAGAGAAGAGAGAAGGAAGAGAGAGAGAGAGAGAGTTAGCAGAGGAAGAAGAGAGAGAGAGATGGAGAGAGAGAGAGAGAGAGAAGAGAGAGAGAGAGAGAGAAAGAGAGAGAGAGAGAGAGAGAGAGAGAGAGAGAGAGACGAGAGAGGAAGAGAGAGAGAGAGAGAGAGGAGAGGAAGAAAGGAGAGAAGAGAGAGAGAGAGAGAGAAGAGAGAGAGAGAGGGAGAGGAGAGAAGAAGAGAGAAAGAGAGAGGAAGAGAGAAGAGAAGAGAGAGAGAGAAGGAGGAGAGAGAGAGAGAGGAGAGAGAGAGAAAGAAGAGGAAAAGAGAAGAGAGAGAGAAGAAGAGAAGAGAGAAAGAGGAGAGAGAGAGAGAGAGAGAGAGAAGAGAGAGAGAGAAGAAGAGAGGAGGGAAGCGAAAGAGAGAAGAGAAGGAGAGAGAGAGATGAGAGAGAAGAGAGGAGAGAAGAAAGAGAGAAGAGAGAGAGAGAGAGAGAGAGAGAGAGAGAGAGAAAAGAGAGAAGGAGAGAGAGAGAGAGAGAGAGAGAGAGGAGAGAGAAGAAGAAGAGAAGAGAGAGAGGTGAGAGATGAAGAAGGAGAGAGAGTTATTGAGAGAGGAAGAAGAAGAAGAAGAGAGAGAGAGAGATAAAGAGTAAGAAGGGAAATCCGTACGACGAAACGAAAGCCAACGCATCAGAGAAGAGGGCCGGGCAACCACAACACCAACCGCAGAGGAAATATCAAAAGACACCCATTAAGAGTATCATATTTTCTTCTTTCTCATTTCATTTGTTGCTCATCTTTTATATTGAAAGATATGCATATATATGTATGCAAATGATATTACCCTGAGACTCTTCCCCCCCCTTCCAAATATGAAACTAATGCATACTTCGTACTTTCAGAGTGTACATAAAGAAGCAATTAACGAAGAGCGTTGACGAAATAACTCACTTCTGTTATCAATGAAAATTTTCAATTCCTCGCTCGCTTTCTCTTTTTTTTGCTATTTTTACGAATGTATTTTATTCTCTCATTTGTTTCTCTCTGGAGAAGGAAGGGCAAGGGAGTGCGCAGATAGGTGATTCTGACGTCATAGTAAAACCATCGTAAACTGTGTTTTTTTTTTCTTACTAAAAAACTTAGTTTTCAAAAATCCAGTTTCTGTAAGTATAGATCATATGTAGTTGTATTTCTCTGAGTTTGTAAATCTGGAATGCAAGGGCTGAAGGAGTCGCCTCCGGATTCTGCTCTGGTATGTTAATTTTCGTTTTGTTAACTGAAGTCGTTCCGGCCGATTGTTTCAGCCAAGCCCCCGGACTGAAAGTGGGCAAGTATTTGTATGTTGTTCAAACATCGATGTTCAACGTGTAGTGCGGTGTGTATGTGTGTCGCGCGTTTTCGTGTTTTGCGGGCGTTTGTTAGTGTGTGTGCGCACAAGTGTGCGTGCATGAGTGCAGGCTGACGTGAAAATGGCCGTGTTTTGCTCTGCTGGAACCCTCATCCTATAAGTACAGTAATGGTAAGTCCCCTGCAGTTCTATTCATGTGCCATCTGCTCGGTTATCTTACTGGCCTGCGTGAAGTGCTAAAGTAAATGGAATAAAGGCCATACTGAAACCAAGCAGCCGATAAGACGGTTATTCATCCTCTCAATGGAATTCGAATTTCATCTTTTTATGAAATATCATTCCGTTCTCATCGCTACGCCACAGTCTGGCATTGGCCATTAACTCGGGCTTTTTATTGAAAAGCGGAATCGACTTTTAACGGACGACCTATCAGCTGTTGCGTGGCAGCTCAGGTGTGGCGCTTCTGTCCGCTCGCGTCGTGTGCATGTCGTCAGAGGAACTATCGGTGCTTTTACCATTTTTTGAGGACTGATCATGCAATACATCTCAAAACAGTTCCTCCTTAATAAGAAAGGTATAAGGCAGAAAAAATAATGTTAGATATACATACATACATACTGGCCCTGATACATCCACTCCTGCTCCTGGTACATCCACTCCTACCCCTGATGTATCCGCTCATGCCCCTAGTACATCTACCCCTGACCCTGTTACTTCCACTGCTGCACCTGTTACTTCCACTCCTGCCACTGCTACATCTACCCCAGCACCTGATACTTCCATTCATGCCCCTGATACATCTACTCTTACCCTGATACATCGTCTCTCCCATCCACAACCACTTCGGCAGGCCCGGCCTGCGACTACGCAGCCTTCACGGCCGACCATTCCATGCTGAAATCCCCTGCGTGTACCAACACCAAGCCCCCACTGACCGAAGCGGAGAAGACAGAAATCCTGAGCGTTCATAACACTCTCAGGGCGAAGGTCTGATAGCGTCCCTTGTTTTTTCTTTTTGTTCTCTAGAATCTTTTGGAGTCATGCAGGCCAGTAGTCTCAGCATACAGTTGGATTTATATATCGCCTTGAGAATTCACGCAATATCTTCTCGAACATAACGCAGCGTGCTGCTCTTATATCGTTGCCATTGGCGTCGACGTCTTTCGCCAACCAGGTGGCCAGAGGCGACGAGACCGCGGGCGATCCGGGACCTCAGCCCAAAGGCGCCAACATCCGGGAGCTGAAATGGAACGATGAGTTGGCAGACGTGGCACAGGTAAACCACTTCATTTTTTATATGGAATTTGTAAGTAGGAAAACTGTGAAAGTCACAGAAAATAGAGAAAAGTAGAAGACGAAGCAACAGACAGCAAAAAAGAGAATGTAATGGTGGCAGATAAGACAAAGTGTGAGCAGATGCCACACTCGTAGCAGGGAAAGCAGGAAAACTTCGCGCAGAACTCCACAGTACCATCATAAGATCTCACCTCACAGGCCTGGATGGGTCAGTGCACCTTCGCCCATGACTGCCCGGCCTGCAGGAAGATCTGCTCGAGGGACTATGCCGTCGGGCAGAATGTATACAGATACTGGATTAACATAGAAAATGACGAAAGAATCGTAAGTACACACTAAAAAAGAAAAAAAAAAAAAAAAAAAAAAAAAACACAAGGAAATTAAATAAAACGACAATGCACAAAACTAAAATATACCTGGTTTTCACTTCACCAACTTTGCACTCTCCTACAGAATTGGACGCGTGCGATACAGTTTTGGTACAACGAGGTGGATGACATGCCCAACACCTTCGTCGGGAGCTTCAGCAGCGTACCCCCGTCCGGCAAGGTCATCGGTCATTACACGCAGGTTAGAAATGGAGGGAAAGGGAGGGAGAGAGAGAAGGAGAAGGAAGGAGAAAGACAAATAGAGAGAGGGAAAGAGAGAGAGAAAATGAGAGGGAGGGAGAGAGGGAGACTAAGGGAGAAATAGAGTGATGAGGAGTGGAGACGGATTGGAAGAGGAGAGAGAGAAGGAAATGAGGGAAAGGAGGGAGAGAGAAAAGGAATAGGATAAGGAGGAAAGGGAGGGAAAGAGAGAAGGAAATGGAGGGAAAGGGAAGGAGAGAGTGGGAGAGAGAAAGAGAGAAGGAGAAGGGTGAGAGAGAGAGAGAAGAAAGGAGAAGGAGAAAGACAAATAGAGAGAGAGAGAGAGAAGGTGGGGAGGGAAAGAGAAAAGGAGAGGAAGAGAGAGAGAGAGACTAAGGGAGAAAGAGAGTGAGAGAGGGAGTCTCAGCGCTCCCAAACCAATGCTTCTCCTCCCCGCAGCTCGTGTGGGGTGAGTCGTACGAAATAGGCTGCGGCGCCGTGCACTTCACCGACGGCGGGACGAGGAAGATTTACGCCTGCAACTACGGGGCGGCTGGGAGCATATTGACTAGGCCATTGTACGTGATTGGGGATCCGGCGTCCCAGTGCCCGGGCGCCGTGTCCGCTACGTACAGCGACCTTTGTGCTTAGGTCCAGGCGCTTGTGTGTTGATGGATGAGGTCTTTGCATAAGGAAGTCTTTAATACATGGGTACATGACCCGTATATTGCTTAAAATTTGAAAGGAACCGAAAAAAAAATTATGGTTCATTCACTGAAGTTCTGAATCATCTTGCTATTACTTAAATTACCCTTTGAAGTTGTGAGTATATTTGGTGTATATCAAAATTAGTCATTGATTTAAGGTTTAAATGATTAATAAATTCGTGGCATCATCAGCTGTTTCATTATCATTAAAAGGTGACTTCCTTGACCTTTAGCTAAGTATTTTTTTTCTGGCAGATTTGGTAGTAAAAATATAAAGACATTGAGAACATTAATGATGATGATGATAACAATTATGATAACAATGGTAACAGAAAGAATATAATGATAATGATAATAGTAATAATGAAAATAGTAGTACTATTACTACTAATAGTAATAATGATAATAATAATGATAACGACAATGGTGGTGAGAGTGATAATAATGAAATAATGTTAAAAATTGCAATGATAATAAGACATTGATAATGATGAAGTAAAAGTATCAATGATAATAACAATGATTGTAATGATAATGCTAATAATAATAATGATGATAATGATAAGAATGATAATTATAATGAAAATGATAATAATAAAGATGATAATAACCATCATAATCTTCATAATAATAACTGTAATAATAATTATTAAGATAATAATGACGATATTGATAATAAAAATGACAATAAAGATGATGATTATCATCGTAATCATCATATTAATGATAGTTATCGTAACAATGATAATAATAGTAATGATAATAATAACAATGATAATAATGATAATGATAATGACAATGATATTATTATTATTAATAGTATTATTATTCTCATTCTCATTATAATCATTATCACCATCATCATCATTATTATTATTATCATTATTATCATCATCATCATCACCATTATTATTACCCTATGACTCTTCCCCCCCCTTCCAAATATGAAACTAATGCATACTTCGTACTTTCAGAGTGTACATAAAGAAGCAATTAACGAAGAGCGTTGACGAAATAACTCACTTCTGTTATCAATGAAAATGTTCAATTCCTCGCTCGCTTTCTCTTTTTTGCTATTTTTACGAATGTATTTTATTCTCTCATTTGTTTCTCTCTGGGGAAGGAAAGGCAAGGGAGTGCGCAGATAGGTGATTCTGACGTCATAGTAAAACCATCGTAAACTGTGTTGTTTTTTCTTGTTCCTTACTAAAATACTTAGTTTTCAAAATCCAGTTTCTGTAAGTATAGATCATATGTAGTTGTATTTCTCTGAGTTTGTAAATCTGGAATGCAAGGGCTGAAGGAGTCGCCTCCGGATTCTGCTCTGGTATGTTAATTTTCGTTTTGTTAACTGAAAGTCGTTTGCCGGCCGATTGTCTTCAGCCAAGCCCCCGGACTGAAAGTGGGCAAGTATTTGTATGTTGTTCAACATCGATGTCAACGTGTAGTGCGTGCGTATGTGTGTCGCGCGTTTTCGTGTTTTGCGGGCGTTTGTTAGTGTGTGTGCGCACAAGTGTGCGTGCATGAGTGCAGGCTGACGTGAAAATGGCCGTGTTTTGCTCTGCTGGAACCCTCATCTTAAGTACAGTAAGTGGTAAGTCCCCTGCAGTTCTATTCATGTGCCATCTGCTCGGTTATCTTACTGGCCTGCGTGAATTGTTAAAGTAAATGGAATAAGGGCCATACTGAAACTAAGCAGCCGATAAGACGGTTATTTATCCTCTCAATGGAATTCGAATTTCATCTTTTTATGAATTATCCTTCCGTTCTCATCGCTACGCCACAGTCTGGCATTGGCCATTAACTCGGGCTTTTTATTGAAAAGCGGAATCGACTTTTAACGGACGACCTATCAGCTGTTGCGTGGCAGCTCAGGTGTGGCGCTTCTGTCCGCTCGCGTCGTGTGCATGTCGTCAGAGGAACTATCGGTGCTTTTACCATTTTTTGAGGACTGATCATGCAATACATCTCAAAACAGTTCCTCCTTAATAAGAAAGGTATAAGGCAGAAAAAATAATGTTAGATATACATACATACATACTGGCCCTGATACATCCACTCCTGCTCCTGGTACATCCACTCCTACCCCTGATGTATCCGCTCATGCCCCTAGTACATCTACCCCTGACCCTGTTACTTCCACTCCTGTCCCTGATGGTAGATGTACTAGGGGCAGGAGTGGATGTATATCCACTCCTGCCCCTAGTACATCAACCCTTGCACCTGTTACTTCCACTCCTGCCACTGCTACATCTACCCCAGCACCTGATACTTCCATTCATGCCCCTGATACATCTACTCTTACCCCTGATACATCGTCTCTCCCATCCACAACCACTTCGGCAGGCCCGGCCTGCGACTACGCAGCCTTCACGGCCGACCATTCCATGCTGAAATCCCCTGCGTGTACCAACACCAAGCCCCCACTGACCGAAGCGGAGAAGACAGAAATCCTGAGCGTTCATAACACTCTCAGGGCGAAGGTCTGATAGCGTCCCTTGTTTTTTCTTTTTGTTCTCTAGAATCTTTTGGAGTCATGCAGGCCAGTAGTCTCAGCATACAGTTGGATTTATATATTGCCTTGAGAATTCACGCAATATCTTCTCGAACATAACGCAGCGTGCTGCTCTTATATCGTTGCCATTGGCGTCGACGTCTTTCGCCAACCAGGTGGCCAGAGGCGACGAGACCGCGGGCGATCCGGGACCTCAGCCCAAAGGCGCCAACATCCGGGAGCTGAAATGGAACGATGAGTTGGCAGACGTGGCACAGGTAAACCACTTCATTTTTCATATGGAATTTGTAAGTAGGAAAACTGTGAAAGTCACAGAAAATAGAGAAAAGTAGAAGACGAAGCAATAGACAGCAAAAAAGAGAATGTAATGGTGGCAGATAAGACAAAGTGTGAGCAGATGCCACACTCGTAGCAGGGAAAGCAGGAAAACTTCGCGCAGAACTCCACAGTACCATCATAAGATCTCTCACCTCACAGGCCTGGATGGGTCAGTGCACCTTCGCCCATGACTGCCCGGCCTGCAGGAAGATCTGCTCGAGGGACTATGCCGTCGGACAGAATGTGTACACATACTGGATTAGCATGGAAAATGACGAAAGAATCGTAAGTACACACACACAAGAAAAAAAAAAAAAAAACTCACAAGGAAATCAAATAAAACGACGATGCACAAAACTAAAATATACCTGGTTTTCACTTCACCAACTTTGCACTCTCCTACAGAACTGGACGCAGGC